CATTGTAACATAATAGAACCATCTTTTTAGTAAACTTAAGTTGTAATTGTGAAATGTATGATTGGCATCCCATAATACCAACCACACTAAGTACTCCTTTGAAGCCACCCTAGTTATACATAACATACATAGACCTCATCATAGTCAATACTCATAGACAAGGAAATAGTCATGTATGTTAACTTGAACATAAGGAAAGTTATCCATAACAAAAATTCATTCAACATACATGCATATCTTATCATAGCATAAGAAACCATACCATAACCCCTTTCAAAGTCTACTTGTGTAATGTAGAAGTGAAGTCCCATACCCGCACTCCTACTAAGTAAAGCTCATCAAGAAGTCATAAGTATAGTTCATGTCATATTCATTATCTTTTCATGTAGGGAAAATTAGCCATAACCGACATAGACCATGTGAGCTACATGGAATTCGGTGTCGTGTAAACCCATACCGAAATAAGGTGTCCTACTTGCCTAAGGTAGAACTAAATGTATTAGATTTTAGGTGGATCCACTAGCTAAAGACCTATGTGGGCACATAGTTATGGGATAGGGAGATTGCTTCTAGAAACACGACCTACTGTATTGGCGGAGGAGCTTCTATCTCATGAGAATAATTTAGATGACCCGGCCTATTGTATTGACGGGAGGGCCTCTACCTCATTTTCCATATCCACTCGGTGCTAAGCATTATTTTCCAAATTATACATAATTAGTCTTGAATTGAATTTACATGTGTGAAGGAATATCTTGCCCTTCATTCAATGCAACTCATAAAATAGCTCATAGATTCAATTAGGTGAGAATGGACTTTCAACCGTAGAATCGTCATTAACATGTGAGTAAACCTTTCACATCATGTTCGTAGTATTTCATGAGAATAGCCTTTCAATCAACACAACAACATTATCATCATCCTAGACAATTCAAACATAGTCATGTGTAAGGGTAAATGGAGAATGATCTTTCAACAATACAACAATTTACACAATAGTCATAGGATCTTCACTTTCTAAGTGAATCATAAGTTCATACACAACTTTCATCAACATGTACAAACCGTCATAATTTACCCTTCAAGGGTCATGAACCATGTCTCACAATAACACCTAGCAATACTACATTAGGCATGGATAAAACAAGATTCAATAACTAAAATACCATAGACACAATTTATAGTATTCATCTTGCATCAATACCATCACAATTCATGAAATTGGGGGTCATGGGGAAATTCATGGGTTCATGGGGGACTTTATTGTAAAATCACCATAAAACAACAATTCAATGATAATGTAAGACAATTAACTCATTGAAATCATTTTTAGGAAGAACCCATGACTAGATTGAAAAACCCTAGGTTTTGGGTAAAATCTACTAATTGAAATAGAGACTTTAAGGGCTTCATGGAAGAAAGCTTTCCATGTATCAAGACTCCCATTCCTTGATTGAGGATTTCCCCACGAATTTGAGTAAGGAAGATGAGTTCTTGAGCCCCAGTCTTCAAGTTCTTGTTCATCTTCAATGGAGGATTTCTAGTGAGAGAAATATTGTGAGGGTGAGGATTTGGGAATTTGATTTGGGGGTTTGGGTATAATGACTTAGTTTTAGGGAAATTGACTTAAAATCAACTTATATAGTACCCCCAAGAATCCCCAAAATAACCCCACTTTAATTGGACTAAAGAGTAAATGACCTAATTGACCGTCATTTAAGTTCCCCCCGTCAGGCTTCACGAGCCCCTTCACGAGTCGTAATGAGGACCACGATCCGTGGTCCCCCTCGTGAAGTTTGGGGAAGTAGCTTCACAAATATGGCATGAGGCTTGCAAGCCCAAGGCCTTACCATGAGGGGATCTACGAGCCATAGTCAAGACCACGAGCCGTGGTCCCTCTCGTGGTCCTTGAGGCAGTAGCCTTGCCACTTGGTGGCCCTTAGCTCAATGCCTAAGGCATCTTTACGAAGGGCTCCATGAGTCGTGGTCCCTCTCGTGAAGTTGAGGCAGTAGCTAGGCAATCGGGTGGCAACTTTTGCATGTCCAAGGCAAGACCATGAGCTGCCTTCACGAGCCGTGGTGTGGACCACGACCCGTCGTCCCACTCGTGAAGGTGGGGCAGTAGCCCCAAGCTAGGAGCAAGCCTTGGCCTTCAGCTTTGGCTTGACCACTTTGACTTGGCACTTACCCCTTTGGCCTTGACTCTTATAACCCACATTTTTTAGGTTTACCCTCACGTTTAGGCTATAGTATACCCTATCATTTTCTGGAGTGTTACATTATCTCCCCCTTGGGAACATTCATCCTCGAATGACGATTTAGACACCTTACGGAAATTAAAGATTGAAGACTAGCAGTCCATCATGCATGAAACATAAAAACAAAAATGCACAATTCATAGGAGGAAACATCAACTCCATTTTCCAGACATAAACAATGCAACACAAGGAAGTAGGAACTACATCCACAACCCATTATGCACAAAACTCATCATTTCACATAATCATAGGAGGAACTACCTTCTCCAACTCAAAGAAAAGCTCAACACAACAATATGGGAGCCAATATGCCATTTCATCAAAAGCTTAACTAAGCATGTTCATCATAAACACAACTAAGCATATTTATCAAATCATCTCATGAAGTCAAATGTGCAATCATCATACTAAAATGCAAATCAACATGAGGAACATATAAATCATAAAAACTCAATTTATGCCAAATATGAATTCTCACAAGAACATGCATATCATAAGGAAATCATAAAGAACACTCATAGCACATATGACTTCCAAAACACCAAACTCAAGAAAAACTACTTACCTAAAGTTTGGATAGGAGTAGAAGGAAAAAGATGAGGATAGCGGGACTTCATATCGGCCTCGGCCTCCCATGTAGCACCCTCAACTAAGCGATTTCTCCATAAAACCTTAACGGAAGCTAATTCTTTGTTTCTCAACCTCTTAACTTGCCGGTTTAGAATCTCAATCGGAATCTCTTCATAGGAAAGGCTCTCATCAACTCCCAAACCCTCTAAAGGAATAATAGTTACTAGCTCACCAATGCACTTCTTGAGCATAGAAACATGAAATACCGGGTGAACCGGAGCCAATTCATTTGGCAAGTCTAATTCATAGGCAACTTTCCCAATATGCTTCAAGATTTTATATGGACCCACAAACCGGGGACTAAGTTTCCCCTTCTTGCCAAACCTCATCACACCCTTCATGGGTGAGATTTTCAAATAGACCCAATCATTGACTTCAAATGCTAGATCCCTTTTTCTAACATCGGCATAAGACCTTTGCCGACTTTGGGCCACTTTCAACCTCTCTCTAATGAGTCGAAGTACTTTTTTAATGGCCTCATAAACTAGTTCGGGACCAATTAGAGCAATTTCACCTACTTCAAACCAACCAACTGGAGGTCTACATCTCCTACCGTATAGTGCTTCAAAAGGAGCCATGGCAATACTTAAGTGGTAACTATTGTTATAGGCAAATTCTATCAACGGTAGATGGTCATCCCAATTACCTTTAAAATCTATGACACACGCCCTCAACATATCCTCTACGGTTTGAATGGTGCATTCCGCTTAACCATCTGTTTGAAGGTGAAAGGCCGTGCTAAGCTTGACCTCAGTACCAAGCCCCTTTTGGAATGCCTTCCAAAAGTGTGAATTAAATTTAGTACCCCGATCCGATATAATAGATAGAGGAACCCCAATGCAACTTCACTATCTCCTTGATGTACAATTTGGCATAGTCTTCTACCGAAAATGAAACCTTGACGAAAATAAAGTGGGTGGACTTTTTCATTCTATCAACAATGACCCAAATAGAATCATGTTTCCTTCGAGTACGAGGCAACCCTACAATAAAATCCATACTCACATCCTCCCACTTCCAAGTGGGAATATCTATTTCTTGGGACAAGCCTCTCAATCTTAAGTGTTCGGCCTTAACTTATTGACAATTCGGACATTTGGCTACAAAACCCGCTATATCCTTCTTCATACCATTCCACCAATAGACTTCCCGTAGGTCACGGTACATCTTGGTGTCTCCCTGATAAATAGAATATCGTGAACCATGAGTTTCATCTAAATTTTGTTCTCCCAAGCCATCAACACACTACAACATTTTAGGCCTACAACCACCCTAGAAAAGTGTGGCCTAAACTATGAAAAAGTGTGGCCTTTGTTAAAAGGCCACACTTTTTGACTTTAAGCCACACTTTTCCAGGGGTGGCCGAAAGGAGCGTAACCTTAGAGTTTAGGCGACACTTTTTAAGTGTTGCCTTATCAGCTACACTTAAAAGCGTAGCCTAAAAGGCAAAAAGGCCACGCTTTGCAGCTCTGCTTAAAAAGTGTTGCCTTAACAACTACACTTTCAAGGGTAGCCTAAAAGGCAAAAGGCCACGCTTTGCAGCTACGCTTAAAAGTGTTGCCTTATCAGCTACACTTTCAAGCGTGGCCTTTGCTTCCATATTGCCCACAATTATTAAGTGTTGCCTTTTCTATCTTATGTATGACAACACTTTGAAGTGTAGTCCTTGCTCATGTGCATACCACAATATACAGTCCTATGGCTTCACTTTTAAATGTGGTAATATTATTTTGGCTATAAAATATTTATATGCCACAATTTCTAATTAAAAGCACCAATATTGTTTTGCAATAAATAATCTCAAGCACTAAATTAGATAATAAGTAATTCAAATTTATAGATTTGCCATAAACTTCAAAAGATATATAGTATGTCTTGTGTACATACACATACTTATAAATCCATATTCTAAATATGTGTACACAATAGTTCAAAAAGTACTTTTACAAAAGTTTAATATATTCTAGCAATGAATATATTTCACAAAATCAATATAATGTATTCAAACTTTTGCAATAGTTCAAAAACTCTTCATCATCCACTTCAATGGGATCAAATTGACTTGCGGAGACCATTCAAATTTGATCACCTCCATTTCCCTACACAAATCAGATTGCAGCAGTTATAGAAGAGGCAACAAGTTCCAGATTGCAGCAGTTATAAAGAACAACAAATCTGCAGATTGCAAATTCCAGATTCCAGATTCCTGCAGTTCATTGAAAGATACTTCTATGCAAGTTGAACATTCATTTTACATATTATATATATGTAAATTATTGCAGTAAAGGTACTAAAACTTGAAAAAAAAGGGTGCTTCGAAAAGCTTTTTGGCTGAATGTGAAGCCTTGAGGAACATAAGGCACCGGAACCTGGTGAAGATCTCAACAATTTGCTCAAGTGTTGATTTTGATGGCAATGATTTCAAAGCTCTCATTTATCCATTTATGGAAAATGGGAGCCTAGACGAGTGGTTACAGCCGAAGGAGGGACAGATGTTGCAGAAGAGATTGAGCATCTTACACAGATTAAACATTACAATAGATGTGGCTTCAACATTGCATTATCTTCACAGTCAATGCCATACATCTATAGTTTACTATGATCTTAAGCCAAACAATGTTCTATTGGACAATGATCTGACTGCTCTTGTTAGCGACTTTGGCAAAGTTCATGTCTGACTCGGGTCAAAATGCCGATGTAAATCAATTCAGCACAAGTGGGATCATAGGCACAGTAGATTATGCTACTCCAGGTAAATATTATAGTGGGGATCTTACTTTAAATATTGTCTGAACTCTAAAATCCATTTTTTTCTCCATAAGACCATAACATATTAACAATTTAAGCAATTACATGCCATTGAATTAGCTCAGGCCAATACTTTAACAAAGATGTATTCAGAAACAAACAAATATCATAACTGAGATTCTATTTACATGAAGAAAACTGGACATTTGCAGACAACCAGGCAAACAAAATTGATCAACAATCATTTGCGGCTTATTAGAATACCAAATATCATAACTGAGATTCTCTTTATCTATTTATATGATAAAGAAATAACTGTTTATAGCAAGAGCAAGCAAATTTCAATATGAGAATACCAAATAATCTCATTAGAATGACTCACAAAGAGCAACGTAAACCAGAAATTTAACTTAAAACGGCAAAATAAATTCTAAATGACTGTCACACAACTCATTTTATGCATTATAGCAGGAATTTATCACTCAAAACAATAGAGTCCTATGGGCTTAAACAACCAATTATTAAAACACTTCAAATGGAAAACAAGTAAGGCTTAAATACAAGAATAAACTTTCTTCATTTTAGGTAAACATACACCATTTGAAACAAAATTTAATACCAAAAGGAAGCAGACTTTCCTTCAACGAATCATGAAAATTTGTTGTCAAAGTTCTTCAACGAATCATGAAAATTGCACCTTTAGCCTATCTGTATCTTTTCATAGATTCTCTGACTTAATATTTTAGCATTTTCCTGATGAAAGTAACTAAAGGGCTCTAGGAATGGAAGTAAACAAATAAGTACAAAGTCTAAAGAGTCTGCAAAACCAACTCTCATTATTCACTTGCAATCTGAAAACCTTAAATCAACATGGGAAATTAACATTCAGTTATATAAAACAATAGCCTTGCTTCATGCTCAAATAAGCACTCTGCAAATTGAAATGGTGTTGTTCATGTCTCTTTAGGTTTTCTCCAATTTCCAACTACGTACGCACATGAAACTTGAATAGAACTCACAGACATCAAGAGTAGGGGCGGACTTACGTGAGTGCTATGGGGTTCACTGAACCTTCTCTGGCAGAAAATTACCATATATATAGGGTGGATTTTCAATATTTCTATACATATACTAATTTTGAATCACCTAAATCAAAGAGAAAAGATAGTCGAGTGGTATTGGACTGTGCAACTTTAGCCGTGAATGTTATTCCCAATTTGCAGGTTCGACTATTTATGCACAGAAATTATAGTGACTTAAGCTCACGAGTGCACTGCCCATAACCAAATATATTTAAAATTCTACCATCCCATTACAAAGAGATATGTCTATATCTGTCTCACCACACTATTAATAATCCCCACCCCCCAGGTTATATGATCTTTGGAAATTATTAGTCATCATTATAAAGTTGAAATAAGGCTTCCTTATTCTCACTTTAGTAATGAGGCTAAAAATGATAATCCTATTGACCTTGTGACTCCTATTATCACTACCATGCAAGGATTGCCGGCTGACACAAATCAGCAACCAAATCAGGAGAAGGCAAATAAGATATTATATGAGCAGTTGTAGGTTCAAAAGAAGAAGACTTACAGGCAGAACCACCACACTATGGGAGGACCTGGTTCACCACAAGAGAAGACAGGGCAAGACCAACAATATCAGCCTAAGGCACAGTCATGTAATACACTTAACTCTACTATTTCTACTCATAATAACTATAATAATCTTATTATGCAGGAACAAACCAACATACAAGAAGAACAAGAAAACCATCTTCACAATTTGATACATCAATAAAGGAAATACATCAACAAACAAATATCCAACTCCAAGTCAACCTCAGGCCAAAGAACAGGGGCAGCAAGAGAAATATCCAAAGATACTCTAATGCAGACATGTAAATCAGGATAGTAGTCGCACCAAACAAAGCATGGAAAAAGAGGAAACTCAACCCCAACAACACCAAGACACTCTACTGTAAACAGGTAAGTCTCATAACTATACTTCTGGGCAGTGTGAGAAACTAATCTTAAGTATGTTTTTAAGATACTTAAGATTGAGTTGGAAGAGTTCTACCTGAGTGGATATACCATATTAAACTGCGTTGGCATGTGTACTTGTCTGATATATACATTCTGAAGAATCAGTTTGTAGGGAGTGCAATGTTTTGAGGAGCTAAGCTTACATGATTATTTGTCTATACTTGTTAGTTTGTTAGGCGTACATTTGCAAGAATTAAGATTTTAGAGACTGTAATGTTTTGTGTAGCTGAGCTTACAGAGTTATAGGATTATTTGGCTATACTTGTAAGTATGTTAGACTTTAACACTACGAAGACATAGTTATAGGATTATAGGATTTTATTTGGCTATACTTTTGTGTAGCTGAGCTTACAGAGTTATACTTGTGGCTTCTTCGCATTACTATAGTCTTGAACACTACGGAGCTGAATAGTGTAATTCAAAATTTATAATATTAAGGAAAACAAAGATAGACACTACATCACCAAAATGGATCCATTAACATTAAGTAGCCCATTGTTTTACTATAATACAAAACCGCAAGTCTGCTGAGATGTTATTAAATTAGTACTAATAGCTGAATTAAGAATTACTGCAAATCAGAACAAGAGGTAATAATTGACAACTTCATGTAGAAGGATCTAAAGGCTAGATACAGAAGTTTTACTTACATGTGATAACTGCAATTGCTATCCTTATTAATACCACTGACAACCTGTAAGCATAAACTGACATGAGTACACATAGTGTAATGAGATGATACATATTAGGTTTTAGTACACATGTAGCCTGTAGGAAAAGCTCCAATGCAAACTACTTAGACATCTATAGCATGTATCAGCATTAAGTATCAGATATAGCTCTAATAGAAAGCCCTATCGGCAAATTAATTGCTATCCAGTTATCACAAGTATCAGAAACGGGTCTACATAGCTAAAGATGACCAAATGATATACAAAAATTCTGATCTCCCATTGTTTCTTTGACTGGACCTTTGCTCCTGATATATTGAAGGAGTATCATCCCAGTAGGGAGGAGCTAGTTCACACATATTAGATACATCACGGTATGTTTGGAAGTTCTCTTCAATCTTCTCAAGGTTTACCCCTGTTTACAATAGTATTTTTGCATTCATTTACATATATCTCTAAATAAAATATCTCGTCTGCTCAATATGGCTAGGGCTAACATTGACGTTTAGATTTTTGGCACTTTTTTCCCCTACTTTGGAATTTCAGCTGTAAGAACCCCAAAGTAATCAATTCCTTCTAAACACCTACTAAACACAAAACAAAAATTCAATCAATTGACTGTTTTTAGTACTAGATGATTAGTAGAGAATAAAAAGGAATCTCGGCTGTACGAAATCGGTACTTACGCTCAAAAAAATCGGAATAGGAGAATAAAAAGGAATCTCAGCTCTTCAGTTCTTCAGCTTCCTCTGTTCAGTTCTTCGATCCCTAGTTCTTTAGCTTCAGCTCTTCATCTCTTCGAGAAAATGGGTTCTGGAGAAGAGAATCTTCAGCTCAACTCTTTAGTTCTTCAGCTTCCTCTCTTCCATCTTCAGTTCTGGAGAAAAGCTTGTTCTACAGACAAGGAGTAAAGCGTATGTTCTAGGAAAGAAGAGAGTAAAGTGTATGTTCAGATAGGAAAGAAGAGAAATAGAAAAGTTTTTATTAATGTTTTATTAATTATTTTTTTTGGACAATAAAAATGGGAGGGAGAGTTGAAAATGTTGGTGGGAATATAATTTTTTAGTGAAAAATTTTAGGCCACACTTTTAATGTGTTGTTTTTACAATTATAAAAATAGGACACTTTAAAAGTGTGGCCATATATGTAAATAGTTGTTGCCATTTATTTCATAGTATGACAACGCTTATAAAGTGTAGCCTATACCATTAAAGAGTACGCTTTACAAGTGTTGCCAATATTATCGATGCCAAAAGTTAAAAATTTAGGCTACATTTTAAAAGTGTTTCCAAAAATATTTTAGGCAACACTTTACAAACATTGTTCAGATTTAGTGTGGCCGCAGGCCTAAAATGGTGTAGTGACATCTGGAACACATAATCGGCCTTGGTACCTAAGAACCCCATCTCCCCCTTGGGAGAAAGCCTTAATGGATTTGTTGAGTACCAATTCATTCAAATCCATCAATATGGGATCGAGGCCTTCTTTAGACTTCACATCAACTACAAAGGAAGATTTGGAACCATGATGGACCATGACACCACCATTGGTGGAATCCACTAGTTGGACACCTAACCGGGCCAAACCTATGTACATCACGAACTAACTCCTTCTTCTCATCTTCTACATGGGCCACACTACCCATGGACAATCGACTTAGGGCATCTGCAACTATAATGGCTTTGCCGGGGTGGTAAAGGACACTCGTGTCATAATCCTTCAAAAGATCTAACCACCTCCTTTGTTGGAGATTCAAGTCTTTTTGGCTAAACACATATTGAAGACTCTTGTGATCGGTGAACACATCGACATGCACCCCATATAGATAATGTCTCCATATTTTCAAAGCAAACACTACCGCCGCTAATTCAAGATCATGGGTCAGATAGTTCTTTTAATGAACCTTGAGTTGCCTTGAAGCATAGGCAATCACTTTACCATGTTGCATAAGGACACATCCCAAACCTACTCCAGAGGCGTCACAATATACAACAAAACCATCGGTACCCTTCGGTAAGGTCAACACCAGAGCGGAAGTAAGTCTATCCTTCAACTCTTGGAAGCCTTTCTCACAAACCTCCGACCACACAAACTTAGCTTTCTTTTGAGTTAAGGTCGTTAACGGAGAAGCAATGGAGGAAAAACCCTCAACAAACCTCCTATAATAACCAGCCAAACCCAAAGAGCTTCTAATATCGGTAGGTGTTAGAG